GACTCGAACAGCATTAGATGTTTATCAAATATCTAGGACAGTGGATAAAGTAGATAACTGTAATGCCGTTGCAAAGATGCGTTATATATTTATTTCCAATTGAAATTTTGATCGTTTCTAGATGGCGCCACTATTCCAAATTTAATATACAAGCATACACTTACGTTACATCACTACTTTTATTAAGATTCTCCTTTTATTAAGATACATGTAAGTATTTGCTATGTTTCTAAAAAATATCTCGAGAAAATATATCCAAATATTTCATTCATGACATTAATGAAAATTAATGTTTGTTAAATATTGTTTTATTTTTATTTCCAAGTGGAAAAAAGAAAAGAAAGAAGAGTAATATCAATGAAATTGTAGAAAAAGAAAGATGAACTTGCAATAATTATGATTTAGATATTCTTTGCAAGTTTTTTCATTCATTTCAGAATTAACTTATAAAAAATATTTTTCGAAAAATGATATTGATTGAGACAACGTTTTTCGTATTTGTGTTTTTTTAGTTTACTTTAACGTATACATATAAATGCAACGTAAATAAGTAGAAAATTGGCAAATACGACGCTGCAGATATAACTTTATTGATTCTGGAAAGCATTAGCTATCCAAAAAATGAAAATAAGAGCAAGAAGTTTCGAGACGTGTAAAATTTTGGCTGTACATATATCATTTTATTAATTGGAATTTTATTATCGGGAATAAAGGAAATACAATTATTCGTTTGATGCATAATGCGATTATTACAAATCAAATTGAATTAATCATTTTATTTTTCGCACTATTGAGATAAATTTCATTCTATACTTTATACTTTCCCATTTTTCTTTTTAAAAAGATTTATTTAAAAATTTCAGAATTTCGTTCCGTTTATTGACAGTCACAGTTTTTAATTAATCATAATATTTATTCGTACTGCGTAATACACGTCATGCGTAAATCATACAAATAAGTCATCACTTCATCATTGGAATAGAATATATAGAATAAAGTGATTAGTATGATGAGCAACATCTCTAAAATACTTATTCCTTAATAAGCTTCCAAATATCTATACAAATACACGTAAGTAAGTACATATCGGCACATAAGATATTTGAACAGGTTGATTAATAGTTGTTTAAAAAAAAAAATATTATAATATAAATTTAAAAGTAAATTTAAATCTATTTTATTATAAGATATAAAAAAGTATATATTTAATTTAATTAAAAATTAATCTCATATTTTCATTTTTCTTTTTAAATATAACTTAACACTTACCTTTAAATAAATTATTAGTTCTTTTATATTCCATAGGTACAGATCATTCCGTTCAAATATGATAAAATCCAAATCCACAGAAGTTTTAAACAATACTAGAATTTAAAATAAACAAAAGTTAATTCAAAATAAAAGTATTTTAAATGTTTACTAATATCATTTACTAATATCATTGGAATAAAATTCTAAATATCATTATGAATGTATTTTACTGCAAAAAGTTAATCCTTTTTAAATATATTTTACTGTATCTATTTTTATTATAAATATCTTTTAAATAAGAATTAAAATGAATTGAATAATTGAAATTGTATTCAATTGTCGAAATTCAAGTTTAAAATTAATTTTGTCAAATATAAGTTTTTTGAATATCTTATGCGGAAACATATAATTTGTTAAAAATATATACTTAATAATAGAATTTTTGAAATATGAATTGAAAAGATGTGACAAAAACATTTAAATTTCATACGAAATCGAAAATATTTTAACAAATATCAATAATTTATAAAATTATCAAAAAGGAAAGAATTTTATTCCTTAGATGATATATTCTGTAAATAAATTTCTGTAAATCATTTCTTCAAGCGATAAAAATTAAAAGCATAGTTATGACATATTATAGAAAAAAGATGATGTTTAAAATTTAAACGAATCATCTTTTTTTTTAAATGTATATTTAATAATAATTTAAATAAATAAATATTTTTAAATAAATATTTAATAAAAATATAATATATTTTTTAAATATATAAGTTATAGAAATATAAATATAATAGAAATGTGAGGAACTATTAATTAGAAATTGATAGATCGATAAAGAAAAATATACGGTACATTGAAGAGTTGATCCTTGATTGCTTGGTTTTCATCGCGCTGCCCGCATTGCGTCGGACTGCCCTCACGCCGGCGCTTTGCACCCCTGTGCTTTTCGTCCTTCTCTTCATTCCTCTTCGCCCCTCCCTCTTCCCTGTCTTTCCCCATCTTTTTCCTCGACAACGCCCCTTCCACCACGATCTCTACGCAACCAAGAAGATGTTCGTTAAGCGTTTCGTCCCTGCACCTACTTTCATATCCCAATTCCCATATTACTACATCTATTTCTTTTTTCCTTTCCATTTTTTATATTTAATATCACTTACACGTATATACTCTTTTAATATCATAGAAATTTTTATCATCGATTAAGAGTTTCGTCAATATTAAAACGCATCGACTTAATTAAAAATATAAAAAGGGGGGATCATCATTAGACGTGATTTCATCTTTTTCGAGATTCTAAACGATTACGATGTTTGATCATTTTTTTCACTCGTTCGATGACTATGTTATATTATTAATTTCAAAGCGTATTTGTGATACGATTTTATTTATGTATTTCGAAATTTGAGTAAAAAATAACGAAACGTTATTTTACGATAGATATACTTGATTAATCTTTTCACAACAATAAGTGTTTACTTCTATTTTACTTCACGGTCGAACACTCGAGATTGTTCGGTAAGCGGTTGAATGGAAAATTTGCAAAGTAAGCCAATTCGAAGTACCCTTCAAGATATCATTTCCAATCAATGAAAATAGTTTGTCATGAAATTTAATTATTATATAAACGCTAATAATTAAATTTACAATTTTACACATATTATCTAGTGATAAAATGACATTTTTCTCCTAACGTTAAATATAATTGAAAAGAAAAGGCGATTAAAAGGTTGTTTTTTTTATATTATTTATCACATATATCGTACATGTATTGGTTATGAGAAAGAGGATAATTATTACTAGATAGAGATATTTTCTATCTTCTATCTTCCGTGAATTCTATTTTTTAACAACAAATAACAAATTCCATATCAATTATCGATAAAAAGACGATTATTCGATATAGCGTTTCAAACGATTAAATTTACGCGCACAATCGCGATTTCATTAAATGCGCATGCGCCGATAACAGGCTGCCCGCGTGGTATAAATAGCGGTGCACTAGCGCAACCCGGAGCATTCGTATCCCGCTCTTAGGTTCGTATCAGGGGTTCGACATTAGCCGGAAATCGCTTAACAGTTACGCTATATTCGTACATAAAATTCGTTTCAAGTTTTCTCATTGATTTAACCAAGGATCGATCCTATCCTAGCCACATGCAACCAAGACTTGAAATTCACTCTTGACATTTTCACTCTATTTCCATTTAACGACGAAACAGAATTCCACTAAACGTATATCTAAATAAAATGGTCGAAACGTACAGTCTATAATCGTATCATCTTATCGTTGTATCACTCGTTTCTAACAACATTCATTATATTATTGTCATTACGTATTTGTAATTTTTTATACTTTTTTTTTTCGATTACTCGTAGTAATAAAAAATAAAATAGAATTTACATATTTGTATCATTTATCGATAAAAAAGACTCACTACCCTGCCTGTTGAGGCAACGATTCGTTATACGAGTATCTAAATGTTAACGAAAAATATTCTCTCATATGGTGAAATCATTGATAAATTTTCGTAGAACTAGTTTCGAAGTTTAAACGAAAAAAGTTTGAACGAGTTACGTGAAGATCGCTCAGAGAGAAAGAACTGTTTCGGATTGGTCGTTTCAACGAGAGAACGTTTCAACAATAGGCAACTAACTGGCAAGTACCGACACCGGGATATCGATTTTCTCGAGTAAAAAGATCGAGTAATCGAATGGAAGCGGAATCGAAACGAGTCGCGTAAACGAAACACGGGATGCGAAAAATTCGCAGAGTCGTTAATAGGTCAGTAGCGTGACCTTCAAACGTTTCACGTTCGGTGAGTGATCCATAAAAACGAAGGCTCGGGTGTAACGGTTTTATATTTCACATTCGAGCGAATGTTTTTGTCTTGTTTTTTCGCCGATCGATATAATTTTTAATTACTCTACGAAATTGTCGCGAAAATCGTGAGAAAAGTACTGGAATCTACCGCTGGACTTATCGATAAGAGTTTTTACCAGGATTATGCTTTAGTCGAGAATAGCACAATAGTGGAAGCCGGTTAGCGGCGGATATGTTTGTAAGAAGCGAACGTGATCCTCTTAGCGGCGAGTATAGGATTATGACAATTCTTCGCGATATCGAGAATCGGAGGCAATTTTTCGAATCTACTCTCTTAAATTCTAATCGATCCATACTCGAACAATTAAACGCGATACATACGATACGCGTTTCATACGAGATGGCGTGTAAGCTGTACCTTACACTATCGCGAAGAATTAAGGGAAAAGAGGAACAGAACCGTACGAGTGAATAGCGTTACTGTGTTGTAAATTTTTTACAACGAAAAAGCGTGTTAATCCGTGAAGCATCAGACGAAACGAAATGCTTCGTTTCGCTTTTGTCAAATAAAAAATATATCGTGGTATACACGTTCAAAATCGCAACTACTTATATATATATATATATATATATATATATGTATGCTTTTAAAATTTTTTCATGCCACACTGCAGTCGCACGGTATGTTTCCAACGTGTACGTATCGAGTAAAGTTAGTTTAACAAAAATTGATCGAAAACATTGAACGAGAAAATGGATTGGAACGAAAGTATTTTATTCGAAAATTTAATTTAATCGAAAAAAAGATACCACGTTAAAATCGTTCTATCGTCACGATATATCTTTCATTTGACGAATAATAATACGTAACGGACGTTTTTCGCTTCATCGATAATTCGCCATGATTTTTTTTTTTCAATTTCAGGCATATGGTGCTACGACATTTGCAGTATGAACGTAAAGTATCGAACAAGGTAAGTGGTATTTAAAATATTCTTAAATTAGAAAAATTTACAGTTACATCATACGTAACACGAATTATTATTTCTTTAAAATCGATTTTAAAGAAATAATAATTTTTAAGAAAGAGAAAGTAATCGAGAAAATATTTATTTATTTTTTTTTTAAAACGACTTTCGAAATTCGAAATCTCGTAGAATCTTGGATTTAAAATAAGCGTACGCGAAGCGTTAGAAAGAAAGCTCGCGTCTCTCGCGTTCATGGTAGACGTTTGGGAGCCGGGTGCGAGGTCAAGCAGCGCAATTTTTCGATTAATCGCTCTCACCGATCTAATTTATAGGTCCTTAGTAGTTACCTTGGTAGCAAGTACGTCATAACTTGGCTACGTGTAGACACGTCGTTGAGACGTAAAAGGATATTGATTTCTTAAGTCTTCGTAACCGAACCGCACCGAAATCCAAACGTTACAATAAATTAAATTCTCGTCTCTCGTTCGCGCGTACGCCATCGCGTATCCCGCCATTTCGAATAACGTTTAACGCGCGTATAAATTACGGATAGAATTGAAGAAACGAAACGAAAAAGGTACGCGGGATACGAATCGGTATAAAATCGGTTTATTCGAAAAATAAATTTAAAATAAATTCTCGTCGCTTTAGAAAAAATTGGAGGAAAGTTTTCATAGCACGGATGATAGCTACGTTCAACGATTAACATTCACCGTGAACGCATCCATTATACCCTCTTCTCCTAGATTCCGCGCCATTAGAAGGCATACAGGATAACGACGAAATTGGTGCGGTGCGCACCGCTAGATCGCAGGATAGTTAGCGCACGATTATTATTATTATTATTCAGTCTCGTTTGGCCTCGATTCGCGCGCATCGTGAAACGAGAGACTCGCGAAAAAAGCGACGATTGAAGCGGGCGAGAGTGGGGGAAGGAGGGGGGATATTCGAATGGTTTCGCTCTTACTATTCCCGCGTAATACACGCGTAAATACGCGAGAAGTGACGTAAAAGTTGGGTAAAAATACGCGTTGTACAGAACAGCGTGGAGGGAGGAGGAGTCATCAAGTTTGCCATCTCGTTTCGCCCCGTTTTTTGCCATTGTATTCGCGTCACTTTCCTCGACTTTTCAGAAGGAAACGCTCATTGTTGTCCGTGCTTTTTCTCCTAACCTTTGTGGAGGGCGGCCGGTCCGCACAAGCGTCCTACCACTGCTCCCTATATCTATAATAATACGCGCAATCTTTCCGTTCCGTCTTCTCCTTTTATATCCTGTCACCTTTGCCCACGTCCCCTCCCTCTACCCTTCCTTTTTAGCCTCGCTACACGTTCATCCTGTAAACCATCGAGAGAGCAGAGAAGTAGAGATAGAGGAGTGAGCGAGGTCTCCAGGTGGGCGGCGGAGATCGATAGAACCGCGACCCAGCTTTACCCGACCAACCTGGGGAACTCGCTGCTACTGCTGCTACTATTACTACTACTACTACTAGTAGTAGTAATAGTAGTAGTAGTAGTAGTACTATTACTACTACCACTGTACCAGTGGTACCACTGTACAGTGCTAATTACTATTGCTAGTTTTTCCTTCTCTCCGTCCACACTCGTAACAAGCTTGCATTACAAAAAGTAATCACGCGTTTCTTACGCTACACATCTAACCATTCTTCCGTTTTCCTCTACATTAGGCCCTATTGTTCCCCACTTAACCAATTGTCATCCTCTTTTATCACGGATACCAGTTTCTTTCTGTCTCTTTGTTCGCTGCTTGCGCGGCGTCCATTTCTTTATCGTTCGATCCTTTCGTTTTTCGACTTTATCTTTCGTGGAACGAAAAGGGAGGAAATTGTTTTCTGGATAAAGAATCGCAAAATTCAGTCAGAATTCGAAGATTCAACTTAAAATTGTATTTTAAAATAATATACCGAGAAGTTGAAGGAAAGAAAAGAATAAAGAAACGACAACTTGTATTCTACTTTCGAAACTTTGTTAAAATATTTATTTACTGCTGCGGGCAATTGTAATGCTGTTTCAAAATATTTTTCAAAATATCAAAAGAGACGTTGATATTTTTATTAGAATAAAAATATTTCCATCATTTTCGTTAATTATTTCTTTCTCTCGATTAAAAAGCTCCTATCGATTCGAAGCGATCGATAAATTTTCCTTTAAAAACTTTCTTTTCCATATATTCATATATTATTATAATATTTATATGAATATAAATATTTATATATTTGTTTCGTTTTTATTCGTTCAAATTCGATCAAGAATCTACAGCATTAATTTAACCACGCATCGATTCGATTCCCCGTTTCTCATTTTCCTAAGCGACTTACTTACCTACACGTAATTAAATTACGTGTAAAAAAAAAAAAGAAAATGAAAGCAGTTTTTCATCTTCTCGTTATATCTCGTCGTCTCGTATTCGACGATACGATTACGCACGCTAAGGGACGATAAAATCGAACCAACATTTTGAAAGAAATTTTCGAAATCGGTAAAACGCGCGCGATATATTACGCGCAAATTTACGGTCGTTGCGAATTCACATTGGCATCGGGATACGCGAAAGCGTGTATTAACGTTTTACGTAGAAACTGTAGTAACGTGGTTGGTTGTAAAAATCGATAATCCTGGGTTTCGAGCCGTGTCGCGTGAGCTACACTCGTTGCACTATTACTATCATCAATCTCTCTCTTTTTTTTCTCAATCCTTCTTTCTCTCGCTCAACTTTTTTTTGTCCATCGTCTAAGGCTAAACTGGACGACGTTAAACCTTCCTTTTTTAGAACGTCGAATCGTCGAATCCGACAAACAATACGATTTATAAAACCAATTATCAAAAAGAAAGTAAGACGTCCGTCTCGTCTAAAGTAATAAGAAGAAATTAATTTACCAGAGCGTCGCTGCTACAAACTTTATTTAATCGGCCAATATCCATTACTCTCTATTCGTTGCTTCACTTTATTCCTACGCTACTTTCCCTCCCGCCAATCTCATTTTTCACCGCGACACAAATTTATTTTATTCTCGAACGCGATTTATCGCGTCCTTCATTTTCACCAATTATCAGACCGAAATTAATTCGGATGAAAAACTAGGCGGGGAGCAACGACAAGTCTTCGAACTTCATTATTCGAAACGTTACGATTTACGGTAATACGAAAGACACTCGATGACACCATCCAGTCGGAAGGGAGTAGGAGAGAGATAGAGAAAGACAGAGAGAAAGGTCGCGAAATGAAAATTAGACGAAAAATAATCTAGAAACCGATATTTTGCCGATTCGTATTCGCGTTCCCGATAGAGAAACGTTCTTCATCGTTTCGTTAAATTGCTTAAAATATCGAAAGCAGCTCGAAAATAGCATTTCGTACGAGAAAGATCGACGTATACTTGGACTATTAAGAAGTTAAAAAGTTCGACTTTAACGAGTATTTTTCGACGACCACATTTCTCTTCGTAGAAAAAAGTAAATGACATCATTTACGGGTCGTTCACAACTGACTCGAAAGAATTTTGATCTCTCTCTCTCTCTCTCTCTCTTTCTCGCTTCTTTCGAGCGAAATAATCACGTTGATGCTCTTATTTTCGTTATTTTCGGATCGAGAACGAAATGAAATCGACTAATAGATCGATATATCGCGCAAATCTCTTTTCTTTCCCGATTACGGAAAACACGCGATTACGGAACGTTTGTTGTTAAGTTTGATTTAATCACGTGTAATTTTTATCGTTATCGAAGATATTTAGATCGAATCGAAACCTAATTTACGTTTAATTTACGCTAATTTAAATTGTATAATCGCTGCTACTCGAGACGACGCGAGCCAAACGAGCGAGAAAAGCGTATTTCGGTGAGATGCATAAATTTATTAATGTTGTTCGCGTGTTTCGACCGGTAAATGGAAATTGCGCATTGCGTCTTTCGTAAGAAAAATGAAATTTCACCGATCGACCGATCTATCGATCGATCGATCCCAAAAATTCGACGAACGAGTTCTTTTTCGCGATCATTGCCAAGTTTTGGCAAACCATACGGCGAATACCCCTCGATTCGCCGATTATAAATCGAGAATCTAAGATTTATTGCGTTTTATCTTTTTCGTCATTCCCATGAATCGTGTGCGATGTAAAATAAAAAACTATCGATTTTATCTCGTTCGTTCCACTTTCACGGCCTTGTTTGAAAACAAATAATTTTAAATAATTTACAACGTACGAACTCTAGTTCTCGTATAAAACGGATATACGCTCGGTACTCGTATTTTACAACGTTGAATGATATCTTATCATCGAAGCGTAGACGACGAATCGGAAGACAAATCGAAACGTTAAAAACGAATTTATCTTCGATCGTTGCTACGAGTGATGAATCTCGAAAGAAGGGCAAAGAAAGGAAGCTTCGAATAGAATAGATTCGAATAAATTTATCGACCACTAAAAAGTTTTCTTAAAAATAAACAGAAAGAAAGAGAGAAACGGAGGATAGTCGAGGATCCTCGTACGCATAAACGACTAACATTGGACGGTGCGGCGTAGCACGCGAAGATTTCACCAGTAGTGCCCTTTGAAATGGCGAGGGTCGGAACGGACATTATCCAACTCGCCGATCTTAATTTCTTCTTACGACCATCGCGTCAAGGCTTCCACCAACGGTTCTACGTATATATTTATTTTCCAATTTTGCACGACACGCGATTCAAACTCGCCTTTTTACCTCTCTATAAACACGCGAAAATAACCGTACATCGAGGATAATACCTCGTACCGTACTTTTTATTTTTATCGATCTTGCGATCTATCCTTTTCAACGAATAACTTTCCAACGACGAATTAAATAATTTCCATCCGATGCTACCCGTAAAAGTAAAGAGTATTTTAAACAACACTATTTTTAACAACTGGTCCACGGGAATGTTATTGCGCGCGCGATGAAAAAGTGCAAATGCAAAATCAACAAAGTCGATAACTTCGTGCCGCGATCGTAACGCGTTCTTTCCGTCT